ACATATTATTTAGAATTTTTACATCTGTTCTAAAAGTTCTAAATGGGGGCAAATTTATAGTTTGCCCTTTGGAGTATTTTTAGTTACAGAGTCATTCTAATTTAAAAAAAATCAGAATTGTCTATTTTATGTGTTCTGGATAAGATTACATATTGGAAGAATTAGTTAATCTTTGAAGTGTTTTGTCTGTTAGTCCTGGACCCAAGGCTATTTTAAATAAGTAATGATAGTGGGAAACTTTTTTTCAATTGTGTTCAAATAAATATTGATCCAAACAAATGGATCAATTTTGTTAGCCTCCTAGAAAATTTTTAATGCCAAATTGTTATTTTTTCTAATTAATTAGTACAATGTCATGTAGTGTTGTTTCAAAAACTCTGCCTTCTTTTTTCTCCTTTTCTTTTTGTTATTAGTTTCAGAGGTAGAATTTCGTGACTCATCAGTTGCATATAATAATACCCTGCCTTGCTTCTTATCAAAACATTGTACTTTTCTGTTTCCTCTTTTTCCCTCCATTACTTTATTTCTCAGAGTTCATTTTATTTTCTGACCTGCTACACCAGTGGATCAGCTCTCAGACATTTTGGTGAGCAGCTGTATGCTTTTTCTGTTTCTTACTTTACTAAGTTACTATTACTTACATATTTCCCTTTATTTTTCAACTTAAGTGAAAAAAAAAAGATTATATATGTGTGTATTTAAACATATGACCTAACATGTAGCATGCATATATAGCATTTAGAGGTGTTTGTTTATTTGTTTTTAGTTCATGAGAGACCGAGAGGCAGAGACATAGGCAGAGGGAGAAGCAGGCTCCCAGCAGGGAGCCTGATGAGACATTAGATCCCAGAACTCTGAGATCATGACCTGAGCCAAAGGCAGACAACCACTGAGCCAGGTGCCCCAACGTTTAGAGTTTAAAGTATTTTTCACATTCCTAATATTTAAACTTGTCTCATATATATGCAAAAATGTATAAACATTTACTCTCTGAATCTACTTCTGACTGTAGCATTTAACATATATCGTATGGATTTATTTGTCATGTATTGGCAGTTTATACACTACATAATCTTTATTATAAGTATAGGTGCAAATTTTAATTTTGATATATTTTTTTCTAACCCATGAGTTATTTTAAGGTGTACTTACTCAAAATAATTGCAATTCGTCCATTAATTTTTTTTGCTCCTCATTTCCATCTTATAACTTTCTGATTAGACCATGGTGCTTGGACAGCTTGTGGTTTTGGAACTGTATTTAGATGACCAATTTGTGTAGATATGCCAAAGACATTTGGGGAAAATAAAAAAAGTGATCTCAGTAAGTAAGGTATAAAATTATTATATAGACAATCCTATTTAAATTTTTATTCCTCTGAACTTTCAACTTTGCTCTATCTTGTTTCAGTTAGCTAACTGTTGGTGAAGCATTAGTTAGATCCTAAATTTGTTAGTATCTTTGGTCTCCTCCCAGGGAGGATTTATAGCTGTAGATAATACCATTGACAGTAGGTTCATGTCTCCCACATTTTTTGTCCATTTCTACTTCTGTTTCTAATATTTTGGATTTTATATTTTGAGCCTATTATTTTATCCATAGAGCTTCATGACTGTTATATTAGATAATTTCTTTGTCCATAGAGAGTGAGACTGTTGCCAGTACTCTTTAATGCATTTTATTTTTAATTCTACTTTTTCTACCTGACATTAAATTTCACCCCCTATTTCCCATTCCTTTGTGATTGCTTGCTGTATACTTGCCTTCCATCCTGGAGGTTCAACAGAGGTACCATCTGCTAACATTTCTCCACAGTGTGTGTGTGTGTGTGTGTGTGTGTGTGTGTGCACGTGCACACATGTGCATGCATGCATATGTTATATGCAGGTACAGAAAGGAAACTTTCTAATAGAAGAAAGCAAGGTGGGGAGGTCTGAAATTTTCTAATAGAGGAAATCAGGACAAAACTTAAGGGTTGTTTCCATGTTTTACAAGACAGAGTGCTCCTTTGCAGCCACCTTCTTTTGGAAGAAGCTGTTAGTGAGACAGGGGGACCCCAAAGACTACTCTTCTCAGATCTCGGTTCCCATGCCATGCCTTGGATTCCATAGACTACTATTCTACTTTAGCACTTTGGAGTGTGTGCTACCAAAACGACAGTTCCTGTCAGGATAAACACATAACACACTGGTAACATTGTGTGCAAGCAGAGTCTGATGGCCATTGGTGATTTCTTTGGAATCCATTCTGTTTTAGAAGACTATTTTGGAAAAAAAATAAGTTATGCCATCATGTCACTCATTATTCATTCAGTAAGCTTTGAGCAGCTAATGTAGCCATATGAGGTAGATGAGCCCTGAAAACAAAGGTGAATAAGGCAGATGTGGCCCAAATGCTCCCTCACAGGATGGAAAACCTGCTCCTCTGGAAGATAAAACAAGTAAAGCTATGATTGTAGGTCGCCTGTTTCCATGAATCACACCATCGGTGGGTAGAGGAAAGAGACATGGGCTGCTACAGCTCCCTCGCATTTTGGAGAAGATAGTATGGAGAGGTAATTTTTGTGATGAACCGCTGGGGAGGAAAGTAATGTGACAGAAAGTGTCATAGCCTCAGGCTAAGAGAAAATCAGCAATTAGCCAGAGAGAGACTTGTCCCACCCCCCAAAAAATAATTGAAGATGGGAAAAAAGTTCCTTAATTTTTATATATATGCTAAGGAAAGGGAACTGTGTGGGGAGTGACTTCCTTTGCCCTGGGTACAAATAAGACTATAATCCATCCACATGTCCTGGCAGACTCAACCGAGAGCATGGGGAAAGTCCTGAGGTTACATTTTTCTTTTTGAAGAATGCTGCCAAATTGCTAATTTGGACTTACGTTCTTTTTCTGCAACATAGCTTCCTCTGACCTCGAAGGAGCGAGGATGTAGGCAGCTGAGTATCTTAATGTTTGAGAATTGCCAACTCTGCTTCTCTTCCTAAACTCTCCGGTGGATTGGTCCATAGGGTTAAATGGCTCATTGCAATTCAGCAAAGTGGCTTTTATGTGCAATTAATGTTTGTTAATTTGGTTAAATGTCAAAGTATACAATTTTTTTTTTGGGAAAAAAAAAAAAGTTCCTGCAATACAACTTCCTCCCCCAAACCTTTTAAACATCGAGGGGTGAGATGTTATTCTCAAACAAATGCAGAGGCTATCATATTCAGCATCTGCTTGAAATTGAATGAACGATACCTTAGTTAAATGTTCCTCTTGGGAGAAGAGAGTAATATGTCAGCACATCTGAGTTTCAAGCCAAAGCTAAGGGACAGTTGAGAAAACCCACTGGAAAAATATCGCCTTTACCACCTGGCCCCTAAAGAAGAAAGAAAGACTTTGACTCAAAGTCTGTTGGTTCAATGCTTTGATCTCCATCTTTCTGTTCCCCTAATATTTTAATATTTCCCCCTTATGTCTTGTGTGCTCTGGATATATTTTTTAATCTTTGATGTGTCCATATGTATATATATATATATATATATATATATATATGTGTGTGTGTGTGTCCATATATATATATATATATATATATATATATATATATATTCAGGTTTTGTTAAGGTATTAAAGGTTTGGAGATAGTTTCTGGATCCTTTTTATAATGAGCATTTTTGTTAAATAAAGTCTACCATCCATTTATGTAAAATATATGTAGTAAAAATATACACCATAAAAATATAAATGGGCTATAGCTCTTGATTCTTCAGCCCTGTATATATCTAAACTAGAAGAAAGGTTGTCTTTTCCAAATTCCCAGGGAAAAATAGATTTAAGGGTCTCAGTACTAGGATTTCTCTCATACTTCTTATTTTTTCCTCAAGAGTTTGATCCATGCTATAGTCTTGTGCTGGTTAAATTGCACTGCTTCCATGTTTAGTGGGACTTGTGGATGTCCTAGATATTTTTAATTCTGTGTTTTACCCTCTTTTAAAAAATTACTCTCTTTGTACTGCTCCTCTCTAATATCTCCATGATACAATGCAGTGGTTATGTTTTTTCTGCCCTACTCACTGCCCATTCACCCTGCTGCATGGGGGAAAGTTAGGCTAATTCCTTCCAAGACTAAGTGATATATTCCGTCTTCTTTTTGTTTTATCAATTGCTTTATACTCATCAGTCCCTTCTTCCTCATAACCTCAGAAAATAATGACCCCCAGGGCCAAGATGGGGTCTGTGGATATCTCCTTTTCTTTGCCCATTAGGTTAAAGGGACAAAGGTCATCCTCGTGGCTCTTCCATACTAGGAAAGACCCTGATCATAAAGAACATATATTTTCTCAATATATCCTCTCTTTAGATCATTCGCAAGAACCTATGACAATGGGTTATTTCCAGTAGGACAAGCTCTATGGGCCTGTGACCTGGTCCCCATGCTCAGAGGGGCCCTTTACTCGGTTTAATGCTCTGCTGTTATTATCTTAAAAATTCCTAATAATCTTTGAACAAGAGGTCCCACATTTTGATTTTTCACTGGGTTTCACAATAATGAAACTGGTCCTGATTCTTTGTGCAGGATTCTGACCATTCCTCTTTGCATATCATCAACCCAGTAAATGTTGGCCAATAAATGGGAGTTCCCATCCTCCTCATCTCAGGAGGGTCAGGGACATTTATGTACCTCCCTGGGCCTGGAAGTACACTTTAATATTCCCCAGGGTTCAAAGGGGAGAATTGAGTTCAACAGTGATTTACCTTAACTGCCGAGGAATTTACAATTATATTGGGTGGTGAACTTGTTCACTGATAGCAATGTTTTTATGAATGGAAGGGTCCAAGGTCCAAGGTACTTATCAGTACTGTGGAAATCAGTCATGGTTTATCTGGGAAGCTCTATGAATTTTGTGGTCCTGGGATCCTTGAAGGTTACATCACTTCAGGTTTAATATGGAGTCCTATGTCCTACTTTCTTTATGCAACCAGTAGTTGGTCTTTGTTTTTCTTTCTTTCAGGACTTCTGCAGAGTCCTCCAAAACTTTGCAGAAATAACCAGTGGATTTCAACCAAAGAATGTACCATTGCTTCTTGTGGGATGTGCTTTGTTCAAGAAACAGAGTATGGTAGGCCAAAAGAAACATGTTCTCTTTTCCCTTTTCCTGAATTTTTGTCTCAGGCCTTTAGTTGTATCTCCATTGCTTACTGGAAACAAACAAGAAATTCCTTCTCAGCCAGGTGTTCAGGACACATGCCATTCTGTTGTAAATTTATTTTTCTAGAGAAGTGCCTAACTCCAGTTTTTGGGGAAGACATTTTGCTAGAATTGGGGAAGGTGAATTACACTTTCTGTGAGAAGTGTGGCCTACTTGGTGTTCTGGCCTATGGGTTACATTCAAGAATGTGCAGACAGGTTGGTGAAAAGAATTGATCAGCTGGCTCTTTGTCCTGGAGGCATAACCTATGATCTCTTTCCTTCTGACTCTGTCTTTGACTTCCTTTTGTGTGTGCTGAGATTTTAATTGGATTCATGAAGGAAAGAGAAGTGATATCCCTTCAGCATAATGCTCCACTGTAGAATTCTTGCTTAGGGTATAGAATTCTGGGCAGGATTGGGTTTATTTCTTTGTTTCTTTTTCTCAGCTCTAGGTTTGGTAGAGAAATGAATTTAAAAATTCATTTTTTATAAAAAATACCATGCTAGCCTGGACTCAGGCTATCCTTCCTTGCCAGGGCCTCTCTTTCTAGGAAATGGAAAGGTCAGAATGGGGAAGGAGTCTTTGGAAGGAAACTAGGGAGTCAGGATTCAAGGATTCAAGTCCCAGCTATGTGAATTGATGTCAAACTTCCAGTCTCATCTTCCCCACATTTAAGTAGGGGTGGGGTAAAGTTCATGTATCATAGTGGGATGTGATAGTTCCAGAATATGGTGTATGGAAACTCCCTAGCCTACTGTCTTATGGGTAAGAGGTGCTCATATTGTATTCAGTCGAACCAGAGCAGAGGAGTAGCTCTGTATTACAGTTTTTATTTTTATTAAATGTCCCTTTAGCAGGAAACTAGGGTTGATCAAAATCTGCTTCATCATTTGCCTACCTATATGCTCTGTGATTTATCCACACACACACATACACCATGTATATATATACATATACATATTCATACAAACACACACACACACACACACACACACATATGTATAAGTGCAAGATTGTGACAAAGAAAGCCAAAAATACATAACTGGTATTTGTGCCCAAACCTCAATGCAGGGGAATATGGTGAGGTGGAACGTGCAGCAATCTACCTTACTAACATGGTTAAGCTTAAACATGTTCCAGGCCAATATAACACACCCACTAGTCCTGGAAATATGGTAACAGGAAGCAAGAAAGATTCTACCTACTTCAGCCTGCTGCTAAGGAGTCACCTTGGTTCTGGTTGACAAGTGAATCAAAAGGGCAAGGTAGCCACCAGGCAGCTTCCGCCGTGAGGACTAACCTGAAGCTCTAAGAAGGACAGAGGGGAGCGGGAGAGGGAGAGGCAGAATCAGAATGAAGGAACCAGACCTATAATGTGGCCCTCAAGTGCACCATGACCCTGGCTAAAAACCAACAGAGCTAAGTCAAACACTGGTCCTAGTTCTGGCAAATCCATAGTAAATTTTCCTCCTGGGTGAGAGAAGCATTTCAAAGAGGAGGATTAGAAGTTCACCTCCATCCTAATGGCCCTTCAGAGGCCACTCCTTGTAGATTTGATTTGATGTCTCTCAAGGGAAATGTAGATTTTATCTTTGTGGGAGAATTCTATAGCAGATCACACTCATTGGGGTCTTACTTTTCCCGCCTGAATAGAAGAGGGGCACATTTTAGGCCTTCATGGAATTCCAAACTCAGATTCCAAGAAGGAAATTGCATTCATTCATGTAATAAATAATAATGCATTTGGGCCTGACAGCTACTAGGCATGGCTGCAGAAGATATATAATACAATTAGCCCTTACTGGGAGTTGCCAGCTGACAATGGGGCAAGATTTATGTGTTTGCTTTTTCCATAAGTACAATTTTATTTGATAAGTACGGTCCAAAGATATAAAGAATTAATCCAAGGTCTGCATTGTGGGATATTTCCTCTGTAATATTAAAATAAATATTACCCCTCTATCCAATTACATAAAATTACGTTAATAATATCTTCTTTGTTGTTGTTGTCTGCCTGTTTCATCTTTGTAGCCAAAGAGTTTATTAAAAGCAGTGACTGGCTTCCTTTCAGAAAGAGGTAGTTTTTTTTCTTCTTTTTTATCATCTTAGAAGAGTACAATTATTTCTTTTTAAAAGAAATACTCCTAACTGGGGTGGAGGGTCTGTGACCGTGAGGATTAGTTTTCATGAGACAGCCTTTGCTCTGAATTCTCTAATATCTAACTGCTACCCTATGGTGAACTTGAACTTATAGGAGAAGCAAAGTCATACTCCGCTGTGTGTGGGGGGGATTGGGAGCATATAGAAGTGGAGGTGGGCATGTGATCATTTTGAGGGATTCAACATCTATCATCCACGGGGAATTTACCCTGCAGTGTGAGAGGGTGAAGGGCCAGGGCTTAGGGAGGAGTTACTTTCTCAAATGCCCACATTACACCCAGACGTTCAGGGTATTTACTGGCAGCTACTTTGTAAGAGCTTATCCTAGGCCGGGGATGGCATAGACAGTCTCTACAAAGAGACCTAGAACCTAGGAGAGAAGAAGTGATGGAAATATGAAAGTACTCTGCAGGCTCAGAGAGAAATAACAAGATCCGCTTCTTCACACAGGCATACACAGCGGACACACTTGCCAACTGCTTGCTTTGGATCACACTTTACTGAAAGTGTGGTCCATTGTCTGGTTTGCCAGTCTGTAAACTTCTGGTTACTTACCATCCATAGTAAGGAAAGAACAAAAATTGAGAATGGGCATTTGATTACATGGATAGCAATTCGACACTGTCATCCTACATCTATGGAATCTAATAGTAACAGCCATACAAATTTGGCATTATAGCTTGTATTTCATTGTTTTAGTTTTATCATTTTCTAGTAATTAATTTTTATTAATTGGAAGTACAATGAATTGAGGGGAAAGGAAAAAAGATAATCAGGTTTTTTTTTTTTTATCAGATGATTTGAAAAAGCATAGGTCTTCACAGATAGAACTTTTTCTGTCCACAGAATCCATTACAAAAATAAATATATGACAGAGCCTTGGTGAATTTTGGTCATCCTGGCATGACCTTTGCAGGTGATGCAAGCACCTGTGCTAAGCCCTAACTTCTGCTATTGGGGAGGGGAAGAGTAAGAAGAAACTTGGGTTTACCACAGGATCCTGAGTCCTACATATGTGTATACTGAGGCCTCACAAAAACACTTGGAAGAAGTGTAATTGAAGACATTTTACAGAGGGGAAAACCATAGACACACAGGTTACTCAGCTCAAAAGGGGTGGAAGACAAGTTTCAATCCTAAAAGCAGGTTCTTTTTCTTGATGTGGCTCTGCTTAGCTGAGACTTTCAGACAGCAGGTAGTGCATGCCCATTGATGTAGGTTCAGTGTAGAGCCCCTTGCAGGTATTCTCTCAGCAATTCCTCCAGAGGCCCTCAGGACATATTTAGTTCTTTACAGATGAGGAATTTGAGTCATAGATTGTTTAACATCTGCAAGAAGAAAGACCAACCAGTGTCTGACACTGATTTTGTTCAGTGAGAGGCAGTATGGCCCAGCAGTTGATTTTAGGTTTTAGAGTCAAACAAACTGTATTCACAGCCACCAAGAAGAAGGGTGGCACAACTGCCATGTACAGCTGTGTAGGCTGTGCACTCTACAACATCAAGGATTGCCATTTACATCACTATCTGTGTAATGGAGCCCCTTGGAGTTGTGCAGCGCATAACCTGCATGGCTGAATCAATGGGCTTGGCTGGGAAAGGCTGTAGAGTCTGAAACCTGCTGTTCCAAATAGTCCCAGATGCACTTTTCAGAAAACACACCAAGCTCCACCCTGCTCTCAGCAAAGAGAATGCCTCTCCCCACTCCCCTGGTGCCCCTATTGTGCTGCCCCTGGTGCAGGTCACTGGTCAGAAACAAAGCAAGATGAGCTTGTGATATACCCTTTGTTGGCCCTTTAATCTCCGGCTCACTGTGCTTTTATGAAATGTGAAAGTAGATTATGGGCTGCAAAACACTATAGAACTCCATTAGGTAATGATTAAAACATAGCAAATGCTGCCAGTGATAATAAAGGAAGAATGAGGTCATAGGAAAACTCACTCACGTTTCAGCTACTCGTTGTTTTAGAAGATCCAGATTCCTGGGGAACAAAACAAGTATTTGTTCTCATCTAGGTCTCTACAGGCCTCTCCCAGCAGACTTGGCATGGGCTATGCGTTCAGTTAAGTGTGGACAAATGAAAGAAGGAAGAAATGAAGGCAAGGTGGGATGATTGAAGAAGTGACATTGCAGAGATGACAGGGAATGGCAAATTGCTGCCTGGCTGGACTATTTTTGGAGAGGTAGATAAATGTAGATTATGAAATAGTACCTTTTTGGGTATAAATTGCTGGTCATGGACACTAGTGTTTCTGGAGACCCAGCTGTATGTCAAGCACTGTGTTAGGTGTTTGTCTACAAGCTGGTTCATTTAATCCCTCATCAACCTCACAGTGTAATTACTCTGATCTCCATCTTACAGGTTTAAGTAACTGGCTTAGATTCATGCTTTCAAGTGACCAATATGGAATTTGAACACAGTTCTGCTTGACTCCGGGAGCCTACACTTCTCTGTAATATCTGTTAAGCCAAGCATAAGCTCTCCAAAGTTACATAGGATAAACTCCCTAAACTCCCTTTGTGGAATTATGGGCTTTTGGAGTGTTGGGTTTCTTTTCTCCCCCCTCCCTTTGTGTCTCTTGTTAGAGTTCTGGCTTCCCTGAGAAATCCTCTCTTCTCCACATCACTGGCCATGCCCTGGCTCCAGGAGTGGGGATGGCAGGTAGAATCAGGGGTCCTGCTACATGGCCAGCTCAGCTCCAGGTTTTGTTCCAGCACAGAATCAAGCTACAGCTGCTGCCTGCAAGCCACTTCTCCATAGGGCCAGG